GGCAGACGGTAAACCAAGTTACACATGTGGGTCTGGCGGATCTGAAGTTGTGGACGAGACAGCTATGGAGGGAATGGGGAAAGAAGTCCAAAGGCGGAGCTCAGGGCATTCTATCACTGAGAAGTTCTGCAGAGGAGGAGCTCCCAAAGGACCCCGAGAGGGAGCAGCCAGGGAGGCAGGAGGAAAGTCAGGAGTGTGGGGATAAGAGGTGTTAAATGGCGGTAAGAGGCCAGGCAAGGCAGAGGTGGAGAACTGACCACTGGCTCTGAAGAGACACAGTCACTTGAGTGACAGTGGCTTAGTGGAGCGGTGGAGGCAAAAGAATGGAATGTTTTCTATTACATCCCCGGCCTGTCCCAGCCAATCCTTCCCTATCCAATCCTGTTGCATCTCACCCAGTCCGTGCATCTATCCGGCGTTTCATGAGTCTCTGGGTGAGGTCCTCTATCCTCCTCCACCTCCCTCCTAAGCCAGTCCCTCCTCCAGGAGCTCTGATGGATCAGGCCACCTTTTCTTTTTCTTTCTTTCTTGTTTTTTTTAAGAGATAGGGTCTCATCTGTCACCCAGGCTGGAGTGTAGTGGCACAATCATGGCTCACTGCAACATCAACCTCGTGGGCTCAAGTGATCCTCCCACCTCAGCCTCCTGAGTAGCTGGGATTATAGGCATATGCCACCATGCGTAGCTCAATTTTTAAATGTTTTTTTTTGTAGACATGGGGTCTTGCTATGTTGCCCAGGCTGGTCTCAAACTCCCAGGCTCAAGCAATCCTCTTGCCTCGGTTTCCCAAAGTGCTGGGATTATAGGCGTGAGCCACCACGCCTGACCCAGCACACATTTTCTGTAAAAGGCATAGGGAAGGGCAGGTCTTTGCTCCTGAGACCTGCCTCCTATGGCTGGAGGTTATCTTTTTTGGGCAAAGCAGACCAAGACACAATAGCTGAATCCCACTTGGGGCCTGTCCATTTCAATGCCCTCTAGGATAGCATCACCTGCCCTCCTGTGAACACAGCTTATCTCTGCGCCTGTCTATGAGGCCTGTCCATTTCAGATGCCCTCCAGGACAGCAGTGCCCGCCCTCCTGTGAACACAGCCTATCTCTGCGCCTGTCTAGTTAGCAAGGCTTGCCCTTCACAGCTCAGGAAAAATTACCAAGAATGTTATTGACTCTAATTTTAATTTGTCTAGCACTCTTGTTAATGATGTCTATTTAAGACATCCATTAAAGGCCCACGAGGTTAATTAAATGGACAATTCCAATACGGTTCTATCAGAACCCCTTCTATTAAATTAATATTATAGACATTTAACAGATGTCTTAATTAGACATTATAGCTAAGAAACGCAAACTAAATTAAAGCTAAAGGCATTGTCCAGAAAGCAATTTTTTTTTTTTTTTTTTTTTTTTTTTTTACAGAATTTATGGCTTTGTGGAGGGATGTTCCTGTTTACTCTTCGGAACCTGGGAGATCAGTCATTTGATGATCTTTACCAGCCTCCAGGAAATGTCGGCCTGAGAGTCCCAAGTCTGAAATCACAGTCCAGACCTCAGAGCTGGAAGAGACTTTACACACCATCTGGAGCCCAGCGTCCTCAAACATCAGTGATCAGCTGGGGTCTCAGGTAAACACACAGCTATCTGGGTCCCGCCTCTGGAGGCTGATTCAGTAGGTCTGAGGTGCAACCCAGGATCTGGCTGCTCTGAATGTGCACCCACTAACTCTGATGTGGGAAGTTCCAGGATGCCATTTCAGGAATGCTAATGGCCCCACTTGACAGATGGCAGCACCACGATCCCCAAGACTTCAGAACTGCATGAATGGATCAGCAGAACTCCACCTCCTGCCCCATGGATTAGGGCTTTTCCAGCATCTCTGCCATCTCTCCACTCCTGGCAGCCATATACCCGTTCTGGCCTCTCCTCCTGCCTGCCTGAGCCTGGGGGCAGACCCTCGCAGGCTTCCCCTGCCTTCCTGGGTCCTCCACGATGCTTCCGCGGACTCCCGCCCTGAGCCTCGGTGTGGATACACTCTTCACACTCACAGCTGCCCAGAGCCAGAGTCCCTGCCCCAGGGAGACTTCTCTGCCCATCCTGCCCACCTGTGCACGCATTTCCTCCCCCATCCAGACTGTGCCTGGCCCCAGCAGGAGGAGGAGTTCAGCTGTTTGCAAAAATGAAGGGGCACTGGGCAGCCCTGGGTACTGGAGGCAGCAGCCCTGGACCCAAGTTCCTGTATGAGCATGTCACAGAATCTAGTGGTGATGGCAGCTCAGGGGCCAGCAGTGGGGGTGGCTGGACTGGCTAGTGGTCCAAGCAGCCCATATGGGGGGACGAGAAGGCCAGGCCAGTGTCTGAGGATGGGAGCCAGGTGACTGTTGGAGACTTTCTGGGAGGCACAACCAGTCTGTCCTGGCTGGGACAGCTTCGGGGTGGCAGTGGACTGACTTGGGTCTCCAAATTCATATGATAAAGCCCTTGCCCCCAATGTGACTGTCTGGAGACAGAGACTTTCAGGGGGTCATAAGAATAGGGGCCTAATCCAATAGGACGGGCATCCTTCTACAAGGAAAAGACTCCAGGGATCACTCTCTTTGCACACAGGGAGGAAAGGCCGTGTGAGGACAAGAAGGGAGAGGCCTCCCCAGAAACCAACCCTGCCAGCACCTTGATCTTTGGCTTCCAGCCTCCAGAGCTGTGAGAAAATGCTGCAGCTCCAGTATGTGGCATTTTGTGATGGAGATTAGAGCAGACGGATACATCAGCCATGGCCCACACTGCCCTTTCTCCTCCAAGAACCTCATCCTTTCCCCCGAGGCTCTGGCCTATTCTCTGCAGACCGTGTGTGGCAGCTGGGCACTGGGGAGATGTAAAGGGCCCCTGGGCCCCACTCTTTGAACAGTGGGTCGCTGGGCTGATGTCTCCCAGTCCTGCAGCCTCTGGGTCCTGTCCTGAGTTGCTAACCATTCTCTCTTTCCTCTTTGGCACTTTCTCTGATGCACGGAGGCTTACACGAGGAGAATGTGGCTCTATCTCCCACGAGACCACATGGCCAAGGCCTCAGCTCTGCCAGGGTCCTGCTCCTTGGACAGTGGACATGGGAGAGATCGGGCCAAAGAGTACCACATCACCCTCCATGACAAGCTGTGCCACAGTCTATGGAGACATGGCAGCCCTAGCCCCTGCCCCTGCCCCTGCCCCTGGGCCTCAGGTCATGCTTTCTGCAGCTGTTCCTCATCAGGAACCATGTCCTGCCAGGCTAGGCCCTCCCCTTTCCCTCCTCTACCTGGGAGATGACATGGCCCCTGGGTAGACCATGGGGGCAACAGTGTGTCCTAGAAACAGGCAGGCACAGCGGCAGCTTTGTGGCCGGCGAGCACCTTCGCCACGTCTCCTTGGGGGAGAGGGAGTGATATCTACAAATTAAACAGCCACTCACACAGAAACTTGAGTCTGCGCCAAATGAAAAACAGATTTCACATGGCAAGCAGTACCAACAACTTTTCTGGAAAGCAACTGTGTATTTACACAACAGTGGACGTCTTTTACATTGCAGAGGGGTGGGTAAGAGCGGGATGGCTAGAAAGCTACAGCACCTATTCGGTTATGAACACTGTACTTTCAGATGGCTGGGGGAATAGATGCCACTTCCCACTCAAGACAGGGATTTGCTCAGAGGGAAAGCAGGTAATAAAGGCAGCACATCCTGCACTTTAGAACCGCATCCGTCTCATCCTGCAGCCACCCTGTAGCTGAAAGCACAGTTCTGGAGCCCAACTATTAGGTCCAAATCTCAATTTTGCCCTTGAGTCAGCGAGGCCTTGGGCAAGGGGTCCCTTGAATTCTGTCTTCCTGTGGTAGACGAGGATGGCCACACCACAAGGCAGTCGCTGGGCCGGGCCCCGTGTCCCTAGCCCGTGCGTGTGTGCATCACTGGCAGCGGTGACTGCGTGCTGCTTGGGGTACAGCACTTGAGCCACCTCAGAACACCCTGGTGAGCAGTGGACACTTGCACCAATGGAAGCAGGACCGAGGCACTGGGTTGGTCCCTGTGAGACTCTGGGTGCATTGTGAGCCTTGGGGAGGGGCAGCGGCAGAGGCCTGGGCCTTTCTGGTCTCCTGGCACACAGCAGACAGTGTTCCCACTTCCCTTCTCCACCGCGGTGTTTCTCTCTGGTGTGGTCTGGGTGGAAGGCACCAGGAATGCAAAGCCCCAGCACTGCTGCTTCTCCTGGGGGAGAAAAGATTTGTGGCCTGCCTTTCGCCAGGAGTGCTCCTGGCCTTGCCTTGTTGATCGGCAGATACTGGCTCCTCAAAGGGAAGGGGTAGTTGGTCCTTCTGAGCCATGTTTCCAACCTATCTGGTAGGAAACATGTTTCCAACCTATCTGGTAGGAAACATGTTTCCAACCTATCTGGTAGGAAACATGTTTCCAACCTATCTGGTAGGAAACATAGGTCCCCTGGCCCACTCTCACTGCAGCCCTGGGCCCGCTCTTCCTCTGGCCCTGCATGGAAGGGCCTGCCTGACCCACTGGCTTTACAGACACACCGTCAGAGGGCCAGAATCAGACTGAAAAGCCCAGTCTTTCAGCAGCAAAAATGGCGAAGAGATCAAAGGGCGTCAATGCTGCTGGCGTGGCTTTTGCAGGTCTGACCTTGGGAGGTGATGCCGGGCGACCTCCTTTCAGTCCTCCACGGCTCAGCGTGGCAGCTCAGGAGCGGGCACGCTGTGGCAGGTCCCATCTCACTACGCTGGGGCGACCGTGTATGGGCACAGCTGCACACAGTGCTCTGCTCCTGGGGTCCACCCCAGCTGCAATTCCTGAAGTGAATAAGCCCTAAGTCACTTAGCAACTCACCCTTCAATCCTCTTCAACCTTCCTGAAATAGCAAAGTAAACCTCAGGTAGGTCAAAGAGTTCCACCCAAAGGCGCACCTCTGTAGACACCTGCCATCCAATGGACCTCTGGGGCCCCCCTTCCCTTTCAACCTGGCTGGACTGCAGCAATACCTCCTTTATTTGATCCCTGGTTATGTCCACATGTGGACTGTATTATCACAGAGGCAGCTGATTCACTATAGAGCACTCAGAAAACATGGAAAAGTATTTTTTAAAATCGAGTGATACTAGTCAAGTCAACCAGAGTTAACCCCGGTGTGCTTCCTGCCAGTCTGCTCCTCTCCATGGGAGTCACACAAAATGAAGATCTCCTAGAAAGAGAAATTCCTCTGTCCCCTGACTTCTTCACTGGGTACACCGCGACCTTCCCATGTTGTTGAGCATCCTCAACTCAGAACGTCACTGGCTGGAGGTGGTCTATAAGCAGAATTGGCTTAACCATCTCTTCACTGAAAGGTTGGCATTTAGGAGTGTCCAGTTTTCAGCTGTCATAAACAACTGCGTTAGATGGCAAAGAATTCACAGGTCAATCGTTCCCTTCGCTTTGAACTTCTTCGCAGACCGTTCACTTGACCGAAGCTGAAATTTGCTCCCGTAAATGTAGGAAATAAAGCCATCGATTTCCACAGTGAACACGCAGTTTAGCTTGGGGATAACTGAAAAAAAAAAAAAAAAAAAAAGGGCGGGAGAAAAAAGATGAGGAAAAATCCTTGGCAGTAAATATTCATTATTTATTTATTAATATTTTACTTTTAGGTAGAATATTATTCGGAACACATTGAATGAAAAAAATAAGCTAATAGGAAATGGGAAATCCCCCACAAGGGGAGGGGCATTAGGGTTACATGTGGTTATTCTGCCATAGGTCCATCTAGTTACATGCTAAATGTAACTTGGCACCTGATCTTCAGGGTAAAAGGCTATACACCAAATTCCCAGGACCAGAAAGTCCCAGAACACCCGCCAGAAACTGGTTTTCCCACATTAACTTTCAGATGGGCTCCTGGCCTTGTGCTCTGTGGGGAAACTCTTACACCACTTTCTGAGGTTTACAATGTGAAGCAGAAGGATATGTAGGAAAATAAGGGAAGCAACAAGAAAAACCAAGCTCAAAAATTAAAGGAAGAAGGCTGGATGCAGTGGCTCATGCCTAAAATCCCAGCACTTTAGGAGGCTGAGGCAGGCGGATCACTTGAATTCAGGAGTTTGAGACCAGCCTGTCCAACATAGTGAAACCCTGCCCCTACTAAAAATACAAAAATTAGCCGGGTGTGGTGGCGCGTGCCTGTAATCCCAGCTACTCGGGGGGCCGAGACAGGAGAATCCCTTGAATCCGGGAGTGGAGGCTGTGGAGTTGAGATTGTGACACTGTACTCCAGCCTGGGTGAAAGAGCGAGACTGTCTCAAAAAAAAAAAAAAAAAAAAAAAATAAATAAATAAAGATAAAAAAATTAAAGGAACAAAACCCTCTAACTACAGTTTGTTATCTCTGGATTTGTGAGCAAGGTGGGGTGTAGAAATCCTGGGAGACCCAAAGTATCTGCTAGAGCAATGCTGGCCACCAATGGAACCCAAGTGTTATCACCAAGGACACGGCTCAGAATTTCAGGGACAGGCGCCGCTCCTGTTTCTACCCTGCTGCCTGTTTGGCTACATTCCTCTGGGAGCAGCAGCCTTGGGGCAGGTGGAGGCCCTCTCCTGGCACCCAAACAGACCCAGGTCCCCTGAGGCACGGCCAAGATCTTTCCTCCGCTTGGCCATTTCTGGCTGGGGCCGCTGGCTGCACTGACACACGCCTCTTGGGGGCGCCACGGGAGCAGACGGTGGTCTCTGCAGGCTTTAATGCAGGTTCAGTAAGTATCTGCAATCAGCGCTCAAACTAAACCCTTGGAGCCTCGAGGAAAAGGCTAACGCAACAGCTGGAAGCCACAGCCCACACGCAACGCGCTCGGAAACTCCTACATACCTTTCAGGCGGTCTTCTTTGGTGATAATTTTGAAAATGTGCTTTGTTTCCTGTAGAAGGATTCCTGTAATACCCACATAAGAGGGGCACTTGGATTTTGTCACTGTGAAGAAAAAGGACAGTTCCAGGCTCAGGCCTCTGTGGTGCTGGGGGAACCACAGACAAGCAGGCCTCAGGGGTCCGGGGTGCTGGTCCCACCCTCTGAGCTAGCAGACGAAGGAAGACAGCACCCAGGGTGTGGGGGCTCAACAGCTGGGCACTGACGTAGCCAACGAGAACCCAGGCTTCCCCTGGGGCTCTGCAGTCTCTGGACTGTCCTATGAGGTGTCCTTCGGAGAGTCTGTGGCCACAGCAGTCTTGGGCAGGATTCTGGAGTCAAAGGTCACACATGCGCCCAGCACCATCAGGACCCACGGGCTGGCTGCTCTGATGCAGCCAGGACTCCCTTGCAGGATCTGCACAAACACCACCATGCACTGCCCAGGATGCTGGCTGGAACGTGAGTCCTGCTGCAGAGCTGCCCAGCAGCCAGCACTGTGAGACGAGCCACCATCACAAGCAGCAGCCCCTCCCTCGTCCTGACCCAAGCCTCAGTGTAGGTGACAGAGTCACCAAGCAGCTGCAGTATGCCCTGCACTGTCCTCGGGAGATGCCAGGGACATAGTATGGAAAGAGGCAGTCCCGGATCCTGCTCTCACGGAGCCCAGGTTCTAGCAAGGCAGGGTGATGCATGGTGAACCACACCATTCTACTTTCTGACAGCGACGAGTGCTATGAAGAGTAGGGACAGGGCAATGAGTGTGGAGGGTCATGGTTTGCAATGGTAGACCCTCAGGGGAGTGGCATTGGAGCAGGGCTGAACAATCGGAAGTCGGTCTGTGCACACACAGGAGAACTCCCTGGCAGAGGTAAGGAGCAGAGGCGAAGCCCTGAGGCAGGGCAGGAGGAAGGCAGTGTGGGAGGCCTGCTGCCCCAGGGAGGGGGAGGCCTTAGACCACAGCAAGGAGGCAGGTTTACTCCCATACGATGGGACGCTGCCGGAAGACTTGAAGCACAGAAGGAACGTGCTCTGATTCCTATATAACCGGCACTCCGGCTCCCTGGTGCGGGGAGGAGCTGTGTCTGAGGTAATCTGGGGAATGACAGTGGCTGAATTTAGGTAGTAGGATGTTCTGAAGGATTAGAGGAGGGGATTAGGAAAGAAGAAACATAGACACTATTTCGGTTTTTGGCCTGAACAACCAGCATAAATAACTGAGTAATTAACTGAGATGGAAAAGAGCAGGAGGGGTTGCTGTGAGAACTGGGGGTAGCTTTGGCTATGTAAAGTCTGAGATGCCCCTGAACATCCAGGTGGCTGTGTCAAGTGGGCAGCTGGATGCCTGAGCCTGGAGTTCAGGGGACGGGCCTACGCTGGAGACGTCACCTTGGGGGCTGTCAGGTGTAGCTGACATTTGAAACCACAGCATTGGATGAAGGGATTCTGTGTTCAAGATTCCAGGCCATGGGTGAGTGCCCACAGCTACTGTGCCCTTTAGGGTACCAACAGGGGTCCCTGTGTGTAAGGTACACGGAGGGGAGGTACACGGAGGGGAAGGTACACGGAGACCACTTAGGGTGTGTCCCAGCAAATGGCCAGACCGGCTAAGACAGCCAGTGAGAAGCATCTCCCACCCTTAGTGCGGGGGATGATGGTGACTGGGGCCCATCTCAGGGAATCCACACCGGTAAGGAGCGTGTCCAACAGAACACCACGCCCTGGGTCTCCACAGAGCGACAGTGTGGACCTCCGGATGGCCATGTGCTACACGCTCTTAGGTAAATTACCTGAAATAATAGCCCCGTGAAGATCTGCCTTTAACAGTTTGGCCTGAATCATCTGTGGCTGCCTGCAAGGTAAACAGAAGCCCTTGATTTACACCATGATAAAAAGGTTCCAAAAGAAGCAACTAGGTCTTCAACCGCAGCCAGGCTGGCTCCTGAAGCTGCATTTACAATGATCAGAGACTTGAGATCCACCCCAAAGAGCGAAGCTTCAGGAATGCAACTTACGTGTCTGGCTTTAGCCCATTGCACAGGTCCCTGAGTACTGTTTCCCAGAGTTCATGGAGAGGGAGGAAAAAGACTGTATCTGTGGCAGAGTCAGAAACGGAAAAAGTTAGACAACGTGAGCTTGGGATGACAATGTCCAATTAGCACAGAGCTTGGCTTGATGCCAAAACTGTGGCCTGGATCATTAGGAAACTACATGCAAATCCTAGGATGAGCAATTGAGCTGGTAACAGAGACCAAGAACCTTCACCTCTCTAACTTCAGTTTCCTCATTGGTGGGACCACACCAGCCCAGGGGGTGTCCACTTGGACTTCTTTTCATGAGAGAGAAATAAACGTGAGTCTTGTTGAAGCTACTGTTATTGTGAGGTTTTCTGTTACGTGAAATTGAACCTAGTAAGCCCCCAATAAAGCAGGGGTTGCTGGTTGTCACGCAGGTCCTCATGTGAGGCAGCAGGCTGGTCTGGAAGGTGGGCAAGCAAGTGGTGGGGAGAAGAAGAGGGGAGCAGGGGCGAGGACCCCAACAGCTTTCCTCTGGGCCGTTATCTCCAGTCTTCATGCCCTTGTGGGGAATCCGTTACCATGAAGCCTTAAGGTTAGAGAAATGAGGACCTTAAGCTCAAACTCAACTGGGGTTCCCACCCGGGAAGCAAATCCTGGAGGCAGCAGCCCCTTCTCCACCTGAGGCCCAGCTGATCTCCTGAGTGGGGCCCGGGGGACAGCGTGGCATACTTTAAGCGTCTTCTAGAATGTGGGAGGCTATTTGGCTGTCGATCTCCAAGCAAAAGCCACAGACAGCCCTAGGACACACCACACTCAGACCCGTCGCCAAGGAGGGATGGAGGGTTGGCTGGAGGAAGGCATCCTCCCACAGGACAGGACAGTGATGCATTCTTTGGGAAACTTCTGAAACGTGTGGGCAACATCTTGCTTTGGCAATGAAACCCCAGTGGGTGACTGTCTGGCGCTATTAAAAGCTAACAAGTGATACACACTAAAAACATATCAGTTCCTCTTTTCTGTCTAACAAAGCCGAGGGACAAACAGCCCTGTTGCCATGGGCACAGATGTACTGGACGGGTCTTACTCGTGAACGGTGACGAGGCAGGCCAGACAATGAGTCCTGTCTCCACCCGCCTCGCTGAACACAAGCCCAGATTGGTAAAGGAAGGCTGCCCTCTTGTGGCAGACAACAGAGAGGCGCCCTTAGCTTAGGTGGAGCCAGGCTGCCTCCCCAGCGACTCAGTCAAGTCCACACACCCAGAAGGGTAAGCACCGCGGGCAGAAAAGAAGGGAGGAGCTCACGTTACCTCTGCTGCTCTGGTTTAATAAATAAAGAGCCGCAGCTCCCTCCTTTGGCCTGGCAGAGAGGCCCTTTGGCTTTCTCTCTTCTTCTGTCTCCTTGGCGCTTGTGGCGGGTGACATACTCCAGGACCACGCGCCTTTGCGCTGCAGCTGGTCCTCGGCGGGCCTGCGGGCTCATGCCGGGTGTGCTTGCGCTTCAGGGAAGGCCCTCACGAAGGCCTCGGCCCGCTGTGCTCCTGGAGGGCTTGCAGGCGGACAAGGGGGGTGCAGCGCTCACTGCTTCTGGTCGGGCAGCCCAGGATCCCAGGCCATCCGCCCGCAGCTACTGGGAAGAGCAGATGGGGCCCACCCCTCCACCCACTGAAGCTCCACACCCTCCGCTCATCTGCCACCTGTGGTCTGCTACCCACAGTTGCCGAGATGTAAGTCACACTCATACACAAATTCATGACCGTTTGTCACGCACAACAGCATGTCAAACGCTCACTTCCTGCTCTGGCCCTGCTTTTCTGAGGTTATTCTGCTGAGGACTAAAACCTTTCTATCTGGAAGAATACTTCAGTCACTCTTGGCAGAAGAGAAAGCTTGAGAAATGTGTAACAAAGATATTCAACCAGGCATGACCAGATGAAACTAAGTGAGCTCAGAGTAGCACTAAGCTATGGAGGAACTGATCCTAACACTACAGAAAACAGCAAAACTAGGGCTCCAGGGTCAGCCAAGCCTCAGGGGGTAGGGACCCTGACACTGTGCCCTTAGGACAATACTCCTTAACTGGGTTTCCAGCAATGTGGGCATGGTGTGGGCTACTTTCCAAAAGGTCCGCTCCTGCCCCGCAGACCATCACTTGGAGGAAAGTACCGTCAAGAGCATCTCAGGCCCCAGACTCTCTCTCTCCAAAGGGCGTCACTGAGAGCCGGGCGTCAACTTACCATGAATGAGCGTAGGCTCTTAGAGAGGACTTCTGAAAAAATGACTGTCATAATTGTGTGCAATTCTCAAACAAACAGACAAAAACCTCCAAGCTCACTACCTCTCAAGTTGGAGTTCCAATAATGGATTCCTCATTTGGTGGCAGATGCCACTGCCCTCGCGCCTGCCACAGCCCTGGGCAGTTCTCTCTCCTGAGGGCCTGTCTCCTGGCTGGGCTGTTTCCTGAGCTTTTTACACTAGCCAGGTGCCAAATGCTAAGACTGAGGCTGACAGACTGATGCTGATCTGTCATTAGTAACCCAGCCCTCCCTCTGTGGGAGAGCAATGGGAAGATAGGGTACACATAGCCTTCGAGGGAGCTCACAGTATGATGGTGGGAACTCTGTTCAGTTTTGCACCTGTAGATGCTAACTAAAAATTAATTCACTCTCATCATTGTGACTATAATAGGACAATAATCTGATTCTCTTAAATACCTGAGTGGCTCGTCTTTCACGGAGAAGCAAAATAAAGGCATACTGGTCTTTCAAAATCTTGCTTTCAAGGTAATGCTCTCACTATGAGCTACAAGAGGAACTTTTGTGAAACTGACAAAGCAGGCTGAGGCATCCAGATATAATCTGTAAATTTCACTTATGATATGTAATTGCACACCTTCTGCAGAAGTGCAGAGGGCACAGTGACAAGGTTGAATGATGCTGCTCACCACATGGGCACAGCCTGGTGTCCCCAACATAGTGGAAATGATAAAAGGTTAAGAAAAGCCTCATTTTACCAAACTTGACTTTGGCACAACAGAAAAGGAGGCCGGCAAGTGGGAACAGGTCATCAGAACTACAGACTTTGATCCAGCCTTAGATGTCTGCCAGAAAAATGAGGAGTACAATGTGGGTAACGACATCTCAACCAGTGACAGGGGCTCAGAAGCTACTGAGCCATCTTTGCCATCACCTCTGTTGCTCCTGGACCTCCTGCCAAGAACTGACCTGGACATCAGAGTCTTTCGCCTCTTTCTGAGACAATGCATGATAGATCACACCTAGAGGATTAAAAACAAGAAAGGATCAATTCTTGTTGGGTATGGCTGTAAGACCCAAGACTTCTCTAACTATGAAAATAATTACACCGCTGGATGCATGGCTCACACCTGTAGTCCTAGCACTTTGGGAGGCCAAGGCGGGTGGATCACCCAAGGTCAGGAGTTCGAGACCAGCTTGGCCAACGTGGTGAAACCCCGTCTCTACTAAAAATACAAAAATTAGCCGGAGGTGGTGGCTCACACCTGTATTCCCAGCTACATGGGAGACTGAGGCAAAAGAATCGCTGGAACCTGGGAGGTGGAGGCTGCAATGAGCCGAGATCGTGCCATTGCACTCTAGCCTGGGTGACAGAGACTCTGTCTCCAAAAAAAAAAAGTAAAAGAACTACACTTATAACATATGCTTATTCATATTCAGAGATAGGAGATCAGGTTGGTAAGAAGAGCAAAGCTTTCTTGGATGCCTCTTATCCCACCCTCTGGCCACATCTATGCTAGAAGTTTCAAGCTCATGGTTTAAAAAGAGTGCTTCTCAAAATTTAACGTGTAGAAAAATCTCTGGGATCTTATTAAAATGCAGATTATTGGTCTCCTACCCTAGATCCTGAGTGTCTAACATATTCCCAGATGCTACTGCAGGTCAGGGGATCACATTTTGAGTTGCACTGGTTTAAAGTATCCCAAGTTAGAAGCCCGAGCCCTTGCTAACGAGGTAACTCATTTAAAAGTTATATGATATAGCTGTCTAGGATGTAGATGGTTAGAAATAGGTTTTGTTAACTGTAAGATGTTTAAAAAGATTCTTCACATTTTAATATGAAATTATAATGTATCATATAATCAAGGGTGTCCTGAACTGATGAAATACAACAGTTCTTCCTTTAAACTCAAAATATACATCAGTCAATAAAGTTTCAACCTCTAAAACAAATTCCACACTTCTGTTTCTTAATTTATTGAAAGAAGAAAACCATGGCACTGGGGACACAGTACAGGTGTGAATGGAGTAAGAATGGGACTACTAAGGCCTGGTTTATGAGCTAAATAGCTAGAAAATGTAATTTACACTATACTCTGTAAATTTAATTCCAGCTCTCTTGTACTTCCCTGAGAATGTCTGATGCAAGGTGGTTACAAGTTTTTTTTCGTTCTTGTTTGTTTTGATATTGGGTCTTTCTCTGTTGCCCAGGCTGGAGTGCAGTGGCACAATCATAGCTCACTGCAACTTCGACCTCCTGGTTTCAAGTGATCCTCCCACCTCAGTCTCCTGAGTAGCTGGGACCACAGGTGTGTGCCACCACACCTGGCTTTTTTTTTTTTTTCTTTCCAGGTTTTGTAGAGATGGTGTCTCACTATGTTGCTGCCCAAGCTGGTCTTCAACTCTTGACCTCAAGTGATCTCCCTGCCTCAGCCTCCCAAAGGACTATAGTCGTGTCCCACCACACCCAGCCAGGTATGTTTGTTTGATCAAGCAAACCAATGTGGCTGCAAGTTTTATATACAGCATCTAGTTCTCCCTCAAGCGGAAGTTGGGGATTATAAACTGTAGAGAGCAACTTGAGGGGCCTGATAACTTTGCTTCACCTGTTACAGGTGCTTAGTAACAGACTTGGAAGTCTTTCTGCAACAATACACATCTAACAATTACTGAACACTCATTACTCGCCAGAAACCTCATTAAAAGGTAGACATATTTTTTCCCATCACACTTGTGCCCATGAGCAAATTGAAGCTCCGACATGCTGAGACAATCTACTTGATCATATAGGTACAAAGTGGCAGAGGTGAAAAATCAAAATTCTGATCGAAGGCCCAGTCTTAACGGTGACTACACGTCCCTCCTTGGCACATGTCTTCTACCCCTAAGTCCCAAAGCTCTGGGTTAGTGATATCATTCCCCAGCAGCTCTCGGCGCGTTGCATCAGATAAGAGTGCGAAACCAGCTCGCAGAAAGGAGCAGGGTCTTGACTGCGGTCACCCCGGGAGGTAGTGGCCAAGTTGGGCCAAGGCCTGGAACCCTCCTCTAGCATCGCACACCACTGAGCAGCCCCCGGGAGAACCTGACTCCAGCCCTGACATCCCTCCCTAGCTCAGAGGTCGAGCCAGGCTAACCCGTGTTCCAGCCCTCAGTTTTTATGTAGGGTGGGCCCATTCCTGTAGCGGTTCTTTAGAACTCCGCAGCGACAGGCAGCCCGGACCCATTTCACCCACCAGCACCAGGACCCCGACCCTTAACATCCCCAACCCTCTCTAACTTCCCGGCCCCGCTTACTCTTCATTCTCGGACCGCTTCCGGCGCGCTCTGATGACGCACTGGCAGTTGCTGTCGCAGACTCTCGGATATCGGAGATGGCGCTGTGCGTGACATCACCGACACTCGCCCACCTCGGGGGCGCATGCGCTTGGATAGGGATTGGGCGACTGAGAGCGTCTTAGCGGGTGTCGGGGAGCAGTGGGGAGGCGTGAGTCGCTTCTTGGGGCCTTTTCCGCTTGCATCTTTTTGCGGGACAGTCAGTAGGGTTGGGGTAAAGGCATGTGGAATGCTTTTGAAGGTCCAGAGCGGAGTGAGGCGAGGCGACTTGGAGAGGACTGGAAGGTTGGGGACTTGGGAGGGCGGAAATGGGACTGGGACGGTGGGATGACGTCTTTGTCGTCCCTAATCAGCGCTCTTACGGATGAGCCGCGGCAGCTTCCGCTGTGGGCACGGGCACCGAAGCTGGGACAGCAGGCTTAGGTTCTAGTGCCGTGTCTGCTGCTGACTAGCTGTTTAACCTCGCTTAGGGCACTTCCCATCTCTTAAGCCTCACTTGCAGCCTGTGCTGTGAATGGGGTCGGCCGCATAGGTGATGATGCGCCTCCTGGGTCCCTTTGATGGTTTCAAGACGCTTTCTTGAGACTCAGAATATTAGTTTTTATCAATAAAAAAATCATAGCAATAAGATCAAAGGTGGCTCACACCGTGGGAGGCGCAGGCGGGAGGAGCTCTTGAACCCAGGAGTTCGAGACCAGCCTGGGCAACATCGGGAGTCCCCCATCTCTACAAAACATTTAAAAAAAGGTTATCCAGGCGTGGTGGCTCGTGCCTGTAGTCCCAACTACTCGGGTATCTGAGATGGGAGGATCACTTGAGCCCAAGAAGTTCAGGGCTACAGTGAGCCTGGATCATGCCACTCCAGCCTGGGCAACAGAGTGAGACCCTGTCTCCAATAAATAAATAAATAAATAAATAAATAAAAAAGATACCCCATTGCTCAGTGGAAAGGTGCAGGAGGGCCTGGTGCAGACTTCTCAGGAGTGACCCAGTGCTGGGCAGAACCGTGGTGCCCCAATTTCTGCTGAGCACTGGGCCTGTGCTGGGTGGGAGAGAAAAGCAAAATGGTCCCTGTGTGGTTCTCAACTTTGAGTACAGTATACATTTCTTTACAGGGGATTCTGGGAGTATGTCCAAGGGTTTGAGTTTGAGAAACATTGGCTTACAGTTTCTTTGGTGGTTACCTTGTACCATTTTGATTTTAAACATGAGACTGCAGGCACTGAAATTCGTTCATCCCAGTGACCCCCAGCGCATTGACTTTATATATATAAAATTTACATATTAGTTTTTGCATATGTAATACACTTATGCATTTATTTTATATGTATAAAATTGAGAAATACAACATTTAAACCAAAACATGCTGCCTTTGCAGATGTCTGAAAATTGTAATTTGTGGGACCGATAACGTGAACTACCAAATGAGAACTTTTATTATTTTAAAAATTAACAAGTAAGAATTGTATGTATTTATGGTATGCAGTATGTTTTGAAATGTGTATACATTGTGTAGTGGCTAAATGAGCTAAGAGCAATGCTAATACACATTTTGTGATGATAACACTTCAAACCTACTCTCAGTGAAATTCAGGTTATTAACTGTAATTCACTGTTATTAACTGTAGTCACCATGTTATACAATAGAGCCCTTCACAGATGTGAACTTTAAAATCGAATGAGACAGCAGAAGGTGTTAGCCAATTTCAGAGCTGTATATTCAAGGGGGGGCTTTTTGGGCAAGACCTCTGTGATTATGGATGAATGAGAAGACCTCTGTCTTTGAAAGTTTTTTTCTGGGGTTATTAGGACTCTTAACTTCCAGTTGATTCCTTCTGAGATCCCTGGGTAACTGCCAGTCTCCCCTAGAATTCCCTGATGATGGTGAGGTGGGTTGTCCTTGAGTGGCAATTACTCCATAGTTCCTTCATCACTAAATTTTTTTTTTTGAGACCGAGTCTTGCTCTCATCCAGGCTGGAGTGCAATGGCATGATCTCGGCTCACTGCAACCTCCGCCTCCTGGGTTGAAGTGATTCTCGTGCCTCAGCCTCCTGAGTAGCTGGGATTACAGGCACACGCCACCATGCCCAGCTAATTTTTGTATTTTAAGTAGAGACGAGGTTTTACCATGTTGGTCAGGTTGGTCTCGAACTCCTGACCTCATGATCTACCTGCCTTGGCCTCCCAAAGTGCTGGGATTACAGGGGTGAGCCACCGTGCCCGGCCTAAATATTTTTTAAAAAGCAAACAAACCACTTGATTATTCTCAGAAAATAATTGTTTATGTATGTAGAGAGATACTTGTGAGGATGTTTGTGATTGCTGGTTATACCAGCAAAAATTTAAAAACAATGCTATATTTGATCATAGTGGATCAAGCAAATTAACCGTGTGCTAGTAACTAATTAGGTAATTAGGTATGCTAATTGATGCATTATTAAATGCATTAATTTACCTGATTAGTTAGTACACATTTAATTTGCTTGATCCACGGATCAAATACAGGCTCACAATCACAGGATAAACTTTCATGTCAAATTTCTTGGTATCATACCTGGAGATTCGTTTTTAGCAGGTGGGTCTCAATAATCTGTTTTTATAAGGTGGGTCCCAATAATCTGTTTTTATAAAGTGTTCCTAGGTGTGGTACATTTGTTACAGTAGATAGGTAGTCAGGTATGAGCAGGGCAGAAGGCTCCCTGCTACACACACCAGGAATGGTGGGCCACCGTCAGGTGATGGTCAGGTGGTTGTTAACTGTTTCTCTAAAGTAATTGGCCACAGCTGGCTCTAGGGAAAAGGCAGGCTCCTAACAGATAGAAAACACCTGAAACTGATCAGCAGCTTCCCTGTAAGATCTCAGGAGTGGGGAGAAGTAATGCAAGATCCTGGAAGTAGATCCTGGAAGCAGGCCAACGTACAAAACCCCAAGTCAAGAGGTCAGGCTATGTAATCCCAGCACTTTGGGAGGCTGAGGTGGGTGGATCATGAGGTCAGGAAATCGAGACCATCCTGGCTAACACGGTGAAACCCCGTCTCTACTAAAAATACAAAAAAAAAAAAATACAAAATACAAAAAAATTAGTTGGGCATGGTGGCAGGCGCCTGTAGTCGCAGCTACACAGGAGGCTGAGGCAGGAGAATGGTGAGTGAGCCGAGATCGCACCACTGCACTCCAGACTGGGAAAAAGAGCGAGACTCCATCTCAAAAAAAAAAAAAAAAAAAAAAAAAGAAACCAAGGCTGCGCTCTTGGTTTCTCAAGTTACCTGCTTGTTTGTCCTTCCAAGTTGTATAATAATTTCCTTCTTTTCTTTCCTTACTGTTCTAAAGCTTTTTTTTTTCTTTTTTTTTGAGATGGAGTCTCGCTCTGTCTGCCTGGCTGGAGTGCAGTGGCACGGTCTTGGCTCACTGCAACCTCCGCCTCCCGGTTCAAGCGATTCTCCTGCCTCAGCCTCCCAAGTAGCTGGGATTACAGACACACGCCACCATACCCACCTAATTTTTGTATTTTTAGTAGAGATGGGGTTTCACCGTGTTGGTCAGGCTGGTCTCGAATTCCTGACCTCGTGATGCGCCCCCCCTGGCCTCCCAAAGTGCTGAGATTATAGGCGTGAACCTCCCTGCCCGGCCTAAAGCTTTTTAATAAACGTCCACTCCTGCTCTGAAACTTGCCTTGGTCTCTTTTTCTGCTTTATGCCCCTCAGTCGAATTCTTTCCTTTGACAAGGCAAAAATTGAAGTTGCTGCAAACGTGTACGGATTTGTCTCCAGTTACTTGGGGTAACTCGGTTCTCTGCCACTGATAACGCATTTCTATAACATGATGGAATACCATGCAGCCTTTAAACAAATTACATGCAATTTTTTTTTAAAACATAATTTTATTTTATTTTATTTAAGCATACACACTTGAAGGACAACATATAAACATCTAGAAAAAAGCATGAGTGCAGAAAATATTTTTACATTAATTGTAATTATCTTTTAAAAGATTTAACTTCAGTCAGCAACTTAGGATTACATACAGATATGACTAAATTTTAAAATATAAATTCTTAATATCACCACTCTTATGAACACCATAGTCAATTTTTAATGATAACATTCTTAGAAGAATTTACCTACATTTTGTCAAACACCGTTAAAGTGTCTAAAGTGACAGACTATGGGACATTTTCTTTTACTCCTTCTTTCTAACAGTTAAAAATGTGGCATCGTACGTTAATAATATAAAAGACCAGGAGAGACACACTGCTCTATAAAAAATAATTCTTAAAAAGGTTACAAACCAATAAAGCCAAATATATACACAATAGTTACAAAGACATGAATATACTAAAAAATTTTATAACTGGGTAAATGAAGTTATGGGAGATTTTTCCTTTTATTTCTCTTTTCTAAATTGCATTTGGTGAAAACAAGACTTTATTCATTTTCTTTTTTACATCTATAAATGATAAACTTTCAAACATGGATACACATGTGTTTTCCCAATAGTGGCTTTGTGAAAGTTCCACAAGAAGTCAAGGTTTAATGGAATCATTGCAGGTGACTCCCCTCCCACCTCCAGCAATTTATTATGAAAACCTTCAAATATACAGAAAAATGGAAACACTTCAACAATGAACACCCATATGCCCTTTGATTCTACAATTCACACTTTGTTGTATTTGCACAGGTTTCTTTTGATTGTTGCTCTGAGATATTCAGGCTGCTATTCTCAGTACTCAAGAAAAATCTCATATGTAAGCTCAAAAAGATTAAGCTTCAACTATTAAATAAGTGGGTATCCATGAAAATTAGGACTTTTGTAAATAAACACAATGAAACTTACAGAAACCATTTATCTAATAGCCTCTGACAATATAGTGGAGGAGTATTTTTCCTGTATCCCCTCTCCTCCACTTTTGGATTAATGAAAAACATTTCTAGTGTATTTTTCTTTCTTTCTTTTTTTTTTTTGTTTGAGCCCAAGTCTCGCTCTGTCACCCAGGCTGGAGTGCAGTGGTGCGATCTTGGCTCATTGCAGCCTCTGCCTCCCAGGTTCAAGGGATTCTTCTGCCTCAGCCTCCTGAATAGCTGGGATTACAGATGCTCGCCACCATGCCCGGCTGTAATTTTGCTATTAGAGACAGGGTTTCACCGTGTTGGCTAGGCTGGTCTCCAACTCCTGACCTCAAGTCATCCACCCGCCTCGGCTTCCCAAAATGCTGGGATTACAGTCCTCAGCCACCTGTAATACCTCTAGTAGTATTTTTTTTTTACTGCTCAAAGGTCATGATCCTGAATACCAGCAAACCTGCAATAAGAACGTGGAAGACTTTATTGTCAGTGAAAATTGTAATCCACCAAGTCAACGAAGTCAGTATATTATTTATATATGTACATCTGTATTTGAGTGTGTGTATAAATATACACACTTTTTTTTTTTTTTTGAGTGTTTATATGAGGTACGTTTGAGAGGGATGAGGCCTGTATGCTTTTGCTACAGGAAGGCCTTGTCCATAACACGGGTCGCTAACAGCACCTTCTTCCCAGGGTGGCCTGGAACACTCAGCAAGATGACGCAT